AAGAGTGTTCATGCTAGACTGGCTACTTTTGGTGGGTAAGTAAAATAATTCAGTCATTCTGGGAATTTATGGGTACTTGCTGTTTTTCTTTACCCCTTTTCCATGTATTAGCAAAACGCAATATGCATCCCATTATCTCCAACAAGCACAGTTCAACTTATGAGAGTTTAGAACTTAACAACAATACTAAGTCTACAACAATGTCAAACTATTTCTGCAGTAGGAATAATAATTTCCCTGGTAAGGGCTCAACAATTCATACCTGCACTACTCAAAGGCAAATATCATAACAAGTTTCTACACATAGGGTTGCAGTGCACAGCATCAGACTTTGCTGAAGCTGGTAATTCGGAGCAAATATCCCGTGTCATTTTATATGTCTAAATGCATGTTACAGTCTGGCCAGATGCAAGGGCATTCAATGTGGGTCATATGAGGTGATCAAATAATTAGCACCTTCTTGCTGCATGGCCAAATTGGGAATTTACTGGTTGTGATGACTCGAAAGGCAGATGACAGTTCAGGCAAATCGGCGCATGCAAAATCCCAAAGAAAGGTAAGAACAGGTGAAAAGAAGTGAGAAACAAACCTGAACTTTCACTCCTGATCTGAAAATTGCTAAAACATATTGTACAGAGTGTGTGTTTGTCTAAATATACTTTAATCCTGAGATGTACTGCTGTCTAGATATTAGATACTGGGCCAGGGAATAAATAATTCCTAAGAGCCCTAATATCCTAATCTTCAGCATGTCTGTTATTATGATAGATGGCAGATTAAGGGGCATGGTTATCAATGGCATTGAGTCCGTCTGCTTTGTGCAAGTCCACACAAACTTGTTGAAAAGGATATGGCTGGGGAATGTAAGAACGAGGAGGGCCAAATTCTTGACAGCAAAGAACCAATCCGGACCACCAATTTCCAAGCCCCAACCCGCATTGCCATGCCAGATGTCTTCCCATATGCCATAGAGGGCAGTCAGGACTAGGTAGCCCGTTATCACTATTGCAACAGGGAAATACCTTTGCTTGTCCCCAAATCCAGCAACAAAATCAGCGTCCTGGTTGAGAAGCAGCAAAATTGGTGCCAGGAAGAATATTGCACGATTTGAGCCACCTGTGAGATTGACATTCAAGATGAGGCATATTGCAAAGCACATCACAGTAGCAACATTACCAACTGCTGGCATCCAGGCTCCCTCAGCAGACATTCTCTTGATTGTGAAGGATGCGACAGTAGAAGCCCTACGCTGTTGCATAAATCTCATTCTTGAAGCAAAGCTAGTAGAGGTGCTTTGACCAGATTGACTATGCCTGATTCCAGTCCTTTCAGTAGCCTTTTCCCTCATTAATGAGGCAAGTTCAAACTTTATCTCCAGAGCTATCAGCATAAAAATTGCAGCATAAAGACCGAGAAGAGATGTCCTTGCCCCCTCAACAGCAAATAGAGTTGTGAGCTTCTTCTCTTCTTCTCCCATATCTCCAAATCCATTATCTCCGAGGATCATTTTAATTCTCACTTGGCCCTCCAAAAGATATGTCACAGGGAAGAGAGCTACCAGTAAAGCAAACACCCAAGGAAGCAGCTTTGTACTTGAGGCAGATGGAAAATGGGTGAAAACCACAAACACAGAAGCACAGATCATGGTGACAACAATGAGAACATGTAGGAAAGCTGTCTGAAGGAAGTACTCAGAAGATATGTAGATACCTAGAGCAATACCCATAGCTATAGAATAAAACACTCTCAACTCAACCATGTATTTAATGGGTATGACAGATGTAACAGCTGCTAGAGTAAGCAGGATTGCCACAATAAGAAGCCATGATGGCCACATAGGCTTTTGTGCCACAAAGCCATATATGGAGATGTCATCAGCAGTCTGCCGAGCAGCTTTAATTAGGTCAGACCGGTATGTCCATGATACTGGGATCGGTGGTTGCATAAGGATAAACAGCAACCCAGTTGCCACCACCAGCACTAGGCATCTCTTGGCAGACTGCACAGAAAAAGTAGAAAACGATCAGTTTACACGGATAGAAATTACTTGATTATTTAGACCAAAAAAAAACTTCACAGATCAAGAAAGAATCTGACCACACATTATAGAAATCTGAGGATACGCACTATCAATAACTAATTTGATACAACAGTAGTACTATAAGAAGATATGCACTATCAATGTGAATAAAAAATGTAATGAATCACACATTATAGCCATATATAAACTCTGAATGGGGAGAGAAAATACATAGCTGCCCAAAACTTTAGGTGGGATATCAGATGTAAATACTTTTATTTTCTTTCCATACCTACACAGTAGATTATATTTAAAGACAATGAAAGAAAAGTAAATAAATAAAACATGTTACCAAGACATGAGAGAAGTGGAGAGCCACAATGGGTACACAAGCCAAGCCCGTCAAAACAATACAGAAACCCAGGAGTAAGCCATCAGATGGGGGTCTTCCATTCCACCACTGGAGGGCTTCAAAGATTGTTTCACGGCAAAACCAGACTGATAAGGTAACCACACCTGCATGCGCATAACCTTGCCAAGGTTTCATCTTTGAGGCTGTTCTTGATTTATCCCTGAAAACCGTAACAACCAAAGAATTAATAACATAGATGCCTTACAGATTAAGGACCTATGAAACACTAAAAATCAAGTGAAAACAGAATAAGTACTTGTAAAGAAGCAACGGTGGCGTTACAGCCAATAATAGAATAGCTGACACCCAAACGACAGACTTTGATGAAATAAGAAGCATAGCCAGCTTAGCTGAATACAAACACGTCAGAATCCATACTGCCTTTGCACCAATTCGACGATCCAGAGATAGTCTTTTCACCAAAGCTAAACCCACAAATGTTGTCACTATAACCATGTAGCTTGGGTACATTACATCATCCTCAAACCCATAATAGTATATGCCAGAGTAATTGAAAAACCGATTCTCAATGTGCATAACAAGCAATGCATGGCCGATCAACCCAATCTCTATCAAAAAGTGAAGTTTTGAAGGAAGTAGCGCTAGACCAGGAATAGACATGGCCAAGACAACATTCACAATTACAAGTTTGCAGAAGGATTTCAGGGACATGCCTGCCATCCAAATATTTAGATCCCAGAAATTATGAACTACAAACCATGTGACCACCAAGCTCCCAAGCACAACAAAAGCAAAATATGATGAAACACTCTTCTTTGTGAAAAACCGAGCCAAATAGAAGCCGGCAATCGAAGGCAGCGGAAGGAACTGCAAGACAATGGATGACCAACAATTATTACTTGTTCAACGTTTAAATTAGAGTTCCGAGGCACATAATAATGCATTAAACTCATAAAGTCCCCTTTCCAATAACAAGCATATTACACACAACAATACAACATTCGCAGTTTGGTGAATTTTGCCTAAATACATTACTATCATCAAGTTTGTAAGACTGCACCACCACGCAGGTAACTGGAGTTTTCACATACTAATGAAACACAGTATCACTCATGCCAACACTTCATTTAGAGTGATGTTCAAAGATTAAATATTGATACACCAATTGTGATTCTTTCTAACCAAGTACAAACAGAACGCAACCTCATACATTACAATTGCACAAAGAAACATCAAAATGGCATTTTGCTTGTTCTGAACTATGCCAACAAATTTGACAGCACAGTGAAAGTCCCAATGACGGACTTAGTCGCTTGCAATGTTTTATTGTCTAGTCTAACCATGTATTCTGCAAACCCTTTCTCACAACAGTAGCTATCATTTTAGGCTACATAGCTAAAAATGCATGTATGTTTATAGACATGTAAAATAGAGAAGCTAAGGAGTGGAAATGCATACCAAAACAGGAAACCCAACAACGATAGCTCCAGCAACACTAACTACAACAGCCAAAGCAGTGAAAGCCATGGAGCTGAAAGCATCAGATATCATACCCAACGCATAAGCACCAGCTCCAGCTGCACCTCCGAGCATCGTAGTTGTCACCAAAAGGTAATTCAACGGCGGAGGCACCTGAATGTACCGCCCAAACGAATGGAAAACAACTCTAATCTCCAAACATATCACCACAACAACCAAAGCAACGGCACCGTTCATCACCTGAATGCCGCGCAGCTGGTTCGGATTCTTAGTGACCCACCAGAGCGCGCCCCGGGTCGAGGCGTAGAGCTGGAAAAGGAAAGGAATGAAGAAGAGGAGAAATAGATCAGAGACTGCTGCCGCGGATGAGAATACAATGGAGTAGTGAGAGGCGATGTGGAAGAGGAGGGGGAAGAAGAGTACAAAAAGAGTGTGGATGCAGCTCTCCAGTGGGGTGAGGATGAGGTTTTCATCAGGGACCTCACCGCCATGGTACTTGAGGTCTTGCTTGGTTTTGAAAGAAGAGATGCGAGGAATTGAGTAGAGGTAATAGAAGAGGCAAGAGAAGGACATGAGGTAGTATGAAGCGTTGGCCATACCGACGGCGGAGATGGTGGCCCAGGTGAACAGGGAGGAGGCGGCGAAGGGGAGGCAGGCGAAGAGGAGGCGTTCGAGCGCGAGAACGATCGAAGGGTTCTCGATTTGAATCCACTTGAACTGGAGCGAGACCCAGACGCCGATGAGGAAATTGGTCTCGGCGCAGAGGAAGGCGGCGAGGGCGGCGAGGGGGAAAGAGGAGAAGGTGGCGCGGAGGGAGGAGCTGAAGAAGAAGGCGATCTGGGAGAATACAAGGGAGAGCCAGACGCCGAAGAAGGCACCGGACTTGAAGTTGAGGGCGTCGACGATGTAGGAGACCATGAGGCCTAGGGTTAGCGTTGCGATCACCGGCGTGCCGCCGAGGTCGATGAGGAAGGCGGCGCAGGGGACGAGGGCGACGGCGATTCGGGCGTTGTGGGCGAATGTGGAGGGCGAGAACCGAGAGTTCTTGAGAGATCTAGAAGGACCGCCTCCGCCATTGTTGAAGACTGAGTCGCTGGGGCTGTGGCTAAGGCTAGGGTTTGGGGAGCCATTGCTCAAGGAGGAAGTGCTCGCCGAAGTGGTGATGTACGGACGGAAGAACCGCGGTTGCAGCTCCGGCGGCATCATTTTCGCTCGCCCGTGGCTTGCTTCAGCTTCAGCCTCTCTCTCTCTCTCTCTCTCTCTCTAAATTTATTTATCTATTGTTTGTCCCTCTGAGGACTGTTGTTGTCTGATCTTCCTCCGAGAGAGTGTGCGTTTTTGTGTGAGAGACAATTCCGGCTTCCGAGTCACTGATCTTCACTTCATTTCTTGTGTTAGGTTTGGGGAGGTTTTGGGAATGGAGGTCGTGACGTGTATTGGGCGATTTCTGACCGTTGGATCAGATCCACCGGAGGCTGTGGCTGCAAGTGCAGGCTACAAATGGTGAGGGTGAGTCTCCGTGACTGTGCGGCGTGCGCCAGCTGCTCTACTGCCAGTGGGTGTTAAATGGGCTTTTGGAGAGCGCCAATACGGGCGCTGGTTAGGTAGGACTTTTCTCCACGGCTTTGACTTTGTTGTTTTGGGCCAATCATACTTTGGACCCAATAACCCGCCATTTTGTTTGACTAAAATAACCCGCCAAATTGTAGTCCACCGTGCAAAATGATATTTCTATTCTACCCAAATGATTTGGGCTATCTTGACCTTAAAAAAATAATAATAATGTTTTGGGCTATTCCAGCAAAAAAAAAGAATAAATGATTTGGGCTAATAGTATATAGGACCCTATTATATACCTATAACCAAAATGATATTTAGTCATGATGTTCAATAATAACTACCTAATTAATCATATGGCTATTAAGTACCCCTCATTATAACCTATTATTACAGTCGCTTTGATGCATTGCACTCCTTAGTCTTTTTCTATGTGTTTGTGTTGTTATTCGACTTGGCTCAATGATTGGCAAAGGCCAAGTCTGCCAAGTCTGAGCCCAATATGGAAGTTCAAGTCCAATGTGAGACTTTTTTTCCGCATTATAACCGCTCATTATAACCTCACCCCTCATGGTAATCTCTCTGCATTCACTTTACTCTAGTGAAATACATATTACATACTAATGAACGTAATTTGAAACTCAAATTGAGTTGAGTGAACTTATAAACACTAGTATTTTTTTGTGTGATTGTAAATTTTATTATTTAACCTGGTTGATCCAATTCAATCCTATATCGAAGTGACATAACCCCATCCCTATTTATCACATACTTTACTATCAACCAAATTATACAAGTGAGATGATATGTGGAACCATCAAGGACCCATGCTCATAGTCCTTTCATTTTCTCAACATGGCAAAATGACATGACCTTATCCCCAAAGAGAGCGCAGCCAGGAAAAGTCCCAATCTCAATTCTATTTGCATGCTCTGCCATGAAGGCAAGGGGGGAAGGGGGGGTGGGGTTGCAAGGCTATAGAAAGGACGCACAACCTTCTGGGTTTGAGTCAAAGACAGCTACAGAGCCTTGTCCTCTTCTCTCCCAAAATGGATCCCAACGTCACTCCACCACACGTGTGTCTGGCTGGTGTGATCTTTCTTCATGGACCTCTCTCTTAACTAGCTGCCAAACGCCAACCACATTCATTCACAATATGTGGGGGGGAGTGACATCCATCTCATTCTGCCTTAGACATTCATTAATGCATCTTACTACCCCATTTTTAACAAAATACGATTACTTTGCTTGTGTAAGTGATTGTGAGCTGTTAATTGACGTGTGATTCATATTGAAATCCGTATTGTCAATCAATCGTTGATTATTACACGTTAAGTCATTATGATTGTGAGCTTTTAGTTGACGTGTGATTTATGTTGAAATCCATATCGTTAATCAATCGATGATTGTTGCACGTTAAGTCGTCATGATTGTGAGTTGGTAGTTGACGTGTGATTCATGTTGAAACCCATATCGTCAATCAATCGATAATTGTTGCACATTAAGTCATGGCGGTTGATTAAAATGTCTCCTTCCATTCCTATCCATTTTAAACATCCAATCACTGTTGTATTCTTCCTTCCATTACAAATATCAATATTCTTTCTTCATTATTGCTTGCTTTTCTTTCTATTAGTTCAATTTCTTTCAAAACTTCCCAAGAACAATGTTAGAGATGTCCATTCACCACATTTGCCATATCAGCCGCCTTATGCCTAACTTGATACGTATTTAGGACAGGCAGGATTGGGTTACACAAAACAAAGGTTGTCATGTCATGTCAGCTTGCTCTTGTCCATGCGCAAATGCATGCATGAAAGACTCAGACCATAAAATGCCAGGTTAGAAAATACAGTTCAAGTAAATTAAAATTTCCATTTGTGCCTAAACAAATAGTACATACAGATTGATTGCATCATATTTCATTAATGTTTCTCCACACTGTCCTCATAAATAATAGAAAAAACAAAACAGAAAACACCGCATATTTAATTCAATAATTTTTTATTTTTTATTTAATAAATACAAGCAATAGTCTAAACTACAAGGGGATGAGATTTTTCATACATACACTACCAAGGTGCCATGAAGATTTGAACTTGAGACCACTAATCTGCAAATTACTTTTTCCACTAGACTAGACCCCGTCAACTAATAAATTAATAATTGATAGTTTTAGCTAGCAGCCTAGCAGAAACTTTGAAATGAAAAAGAAAGAACAGAACTTTATAACCAAAGCGAAGAGGAGAGTGAGATGAGTGTCCAGGCCCTTCCCTCCTCTGCTGCAAAATGGGGTAGAGCTGGTGGTGGTTAAGACCACATGTTCCCCATTAAATGTAAGAGAAAGATCCAAAGGCCTTGGCTTATACAGACTTATATGCCCCCATTGCTTGTACAGTTCCTTATGTCTCCTTGGGTTGCTCTCATTGTCCCCTTGGCTATCTCCATGGTCGTTTTTCCAATCTCTGCCTAATTTCCCACAGGCGTGGCTGCATTTTAGCCTTATTTTGCCTTCACCACTATTTTATTCTTTTTATTTTAAAAAAAAAACAGGAGAAAAAAGAGAAGGGGGCTCCTATTTTGTGATTTAAGATATCTTGTAAGAGGACGTGGACGTCAATTCGATTGGTCATACTCGTACTGGTGCCTCTGCTTCTGGTAGTATATGTAATATGCATACCCTTTTCAAGAGTAGGCTAGCTATATGGAATATGGATGTCGATTAACTTGTCTTTTAGCATGAGAGGAACAGCCTGGGAACGCCATGATAATTGAGTTCTGTAAAAAGAATTCTCAACTGCTTTCCCTTTCCATTTTTTTTTTCACACAAACAATATTTTACTAAACTATGGGAGGGGGATTCGAACTCGGGTGCATAATGGAGAGTACGTCCGCTCTAGTCAACTTGGCTAAGCCCATGTCTGTTGTTTTCCCTTTCCATTTATGTCCATGTTTTTTAACTGAAGAAATTAGTACATATAAATTAGTTTTCCCATTAAGAAAAAATAGGAAGTTAGTATATTAGCGTGTGAAGTGATTCTACTGCAAGGAAATTAGATGATGTCTTGATTCTTGAATGAGCAGAGCACTGATTGAATCTGCCAAGCTGCCAAATTTATGTCCATATCAGATATTTGTAAGAATATTAGATGACAGAACACATCTGGTGCTAACTTAAGCAAGCTAATCAACTGGTTTTTTTCTTTCTTTCTTTTTTCTTATAAAGAAACAATTGGGCATATCAGTTTGATCCTCTAAATGTTCTGTTTCATGTTATTTTTAATTTTCTTGATGTATTATCCACCTGATTTACTGGAAAACGATGGTATTCGAAAACGATAATTGAACTCCGTTGTCTGATCCCCTTTTCTTCATGTGAATCATTAAATGTTTCCCTGGACTACTTAATTAGCATGTTTATATATCACTTTCCTCATGTGTTTGTACCAGTCCCCTACAGCAATGGAAGTACCTGTTATGCCTGAAACTGTACTAATTTCACTGCCATGCAAGCTTCATATGAATTATGAACCAGACTTTAGTACACAAGGGACAGATTTGTGGTTTTACAATCAGAGACAGAAGTGTCTAAAAGTACTCTAATTTTAATCCAAATCCAACATACACAATGAGAGGGAAAACACAGAATGATATTAGAACTTCTACAGATCAAATCATAAATGGTTCTTAGTACAATGCTAGGGAAATTAATCCTGGATGGCCCACATAATGCCAATGCCAGAGTCTAAAAGATGACCAAAGTAAATTTCACCATGTTTTTTTTTTCTTGTCATTTATTTAGTCTCCATTCTAAATGGCTCCCAGAGAGGAGTTGATTTACTGAAAAATCTTCCCACCACCCTTGAATCCAAAATCTTAATGGCTTCCTCAGATTTAATGCACCTGGGTGTCTTGTATTGGTTAACAGAAGAGCCCTGAGACACAGAAAAATCCATGAGTGCATCAAAAGCTCCATGCTTCACAATTCTTATCTCTAGTGGCCCAATTGAATTGTCCTTTCTCCTGCACCTCCTATACACAGAGTCCAGTGATTCTTCCACTGTGGAGCAGCATTGCTCCATTATATTAGTGTCAAGCTCTATGAGGTCATTTTTTTCTTTGGTTTTAAGCTCCCAAAACAGTACATAATGGCCCGGGATTGAGGAAGTGTCTGCGTAGCTTGTGTATTCGATCAGGAGGAAGCCAAGGGGATCCAGGAGGAGCTTTGCTTTTGTCACTGCATTTAAAAGGTCTTCTTCATTGGTTTTGTCAGTGTCAATGCTTAAAACCACATTTCTCCTGTGCATAAATCTGAACTGAGGAGCTTTGTTGTGGAAACCAGTCACCATTAGAATGTCACCAACTCTGTACCTGTATAGGCCTGCATACAAGGAAAAACAAATAAACAAATAAACAAAACAGTCTGACAAATTAGTCTGGTGTTTCAGAGAATAATGTGTTTAATCAACTATGATGAGGTGAGTTGGATGGTGAATTCACAGTTGGGTAATGTAGTTACAAAGGTAAAAAAATTCTTTGGATGTTTGAGTCTTTGAGATAGGTTGGTTTTCTTTGCTTAAGAAATAAAACATAAAATACATGAAGCATGTGGGTCAGATCTAAAGATAGGAAGTAAAATACCTGTAAAAGTTGTGACGACAAGTTCGTAATAGTGACCAAGCTTCACATCCACTAGATCAACTGTTTCTAGATTTTCCTTTTCCTCCTCCTTTATGCAACTTTGATCAGAAACACCATTGCAAAGGGCTACCTCTTCATGGTGTTTCTCCACAGGTAGGAACTCAAAGTAGGCCATGTTAGGAAGGAGGGTGTAAGCAACATCATGTGGCTTGCTTAGTGGGTTGAAATTGATCCCAAAATAGCATTCAGAGGAAGCATACATTGTTGAAATCAAAGGCAATCCACCAGAATAGAATTCAAGAGTTGGGATATATTGAGCCATGGACCCTGTGACTATAACCTCAATGTACTTTGTTCTAGGCCAAAGCCTCTTGACTATACCTTCCCATGACTTGTTATTAAACTCATGCTCAATCAAATTGGCCAAATCTGGATTTGGTTTGCTAAGAACTAAGGACACAGCATTTCTGCAACTGAGGTCAGTGATCCAATCACTGACATGACCTGATCCTATGTTAGAGCACAACTCCTTCCAGTGGTCCTCTAAGAATTTGATAGCCCTTAGGAAAGCGGATGCAAAAACCGCACCCACCCTCAGGACTTCATCCCTCTGAACTAAACCACAAAGTAACTGGCAGTACATGCTCTGCTTGCTGTCTGAGCACAAGATGATCTCATCTGGGCTTGTGTAGATGTTGTACCGGTTGAAAGGACGGTTTCGGAAGTTACTGCTCTTGTAGTAGCTGGTTAGGACAGGCCTTGCCACCAACCCACAAGGAGTACTAATTTCTGGTTTGATAAACAAGAGGTACATTCCTTTTCCCTGGTCCAAGCCATCCACATACCTGAAATTCAGAATAACAGAATTGCTCAGTTTCCTTGTTTTCACTGTTACATTAAAATAGAACCATCAATGAAATTTAATATGACACAACAAAAGGAGAAAAAAACTAAGCTTCTCACTTGTTCATCACAGGCACAAGGAGATTATAAAAGAATGTCTTTCTGTCCAAGTCTTCAACAGTTGAAGGCATCATCTTAGGCTGCCCTCCTGAAGTTCCAGAGCTGCAAGGGAGATAACTAATTACAACAAAATTCATGAAAAAGAAATTGTATTTTTTTACTATATAGAAAATGAGCTGTGAACAATATTTTCCGCACCTTGTGAGGAGCTCAGTGATTTTTTGAGCTGAGATGATATCTGATGGCTCTCCATTCGCAATTCGCTCGATGTAAGGCTTGACATCTTCATAACTCACAACAGGAACTTTCTTCTTGAAATCTTTCCTGTCATAGTGGCCATTGAGAAAGGCACTGAGATATTCTGTCTCTGCATTTTTTGTAAGTATCTCTTCTAAAACCTGTTGCTGTACTTCATATGCATTTGTTGTCAGGTCCTCCAAAAGCTTCAAACCATATTCATTGTCATTTGGATTATAGCTGGGAATCATCCTTGGCAACATTAGGAAGGAGAATTAATATGCAACCTTTGGTTCAGAGGTGGCTCTGGGACATGTTATTTACTGAGAGCTGTTTGGCACACATGCAAAGAATGGAAAAAAAATTAATTGAAATTGCAGGCTGATTGATCAGAAAAGACCTTGAAACATTTAGAAAGGCAGACTCTCTCTTCCTTATGAACTGAATTTTATAATTTGTAAAGTTGCCTTGCAGAAGGGGAAAAGGGAAGAAGAAGAGTGAAAATACTTAAACAACAAAGGAAGAGAAAGTGCTACATATTTGTATGAGCCATTGTCTTATAATACAAGGCTTCTGTCTGAATGTGTTTCTGTGCAGCAGCTGATAAGAGGGGGTGGAGGGAAATGATTAAATAACAGATTCTGGAGGGGATTTTGGGAAATGGTGTATATTCAAACATCTTTAAAATAAGAAAGAAGGAAATGTAAGGGAAGTTGAGGCTAGGGGAGGTCCTACACACGTGGCCTTGTCTGGTAAGCTGGTGAATATATTTATAAATATAAAAAGGTTGGTCAAAACTACCTTCAATATTTTTACCTCTTTTTCTTACAGCCAATTATATAAAATAATTATTTTTTCAGAATTTCAAACTCAAAAATCAACAGCTTGTATATATGCTTAAGATAAGCTTGGTCTGCATTTAAGCATTCAACCACAACTGCTGCCAAGGACCTAGCTATTAATTGTCTAGTTAAACAGATGGAATGAAAAATAATTAATTAATTAATTATTTTTTTTCTCAGCAAAAAGAGAATAAAATATAACAAGAAGACCCTGCAAGAAGAATAGGACAATGCCAATCAAAACAACAATCATGCAGATGCTCACTTTACAGCTTTATCTGCAGAGAGACACAGAGATTATTGTATCAGGAAACATCTTTTCAAGAGGATGGCTGATAGATTTTAGTCGTGGTTTGATAATTTTGGCAGACATTATTTTGGTGGCATTTATACATGAAAGCTAATGATCTGCATGATAGGCTGATTATGCTCCAGAACAAGAGGGTTTTTTTCTTTGGCTGATACCATAAACTGATTTCAAGCTCACAGAAGCTACCCATAGGGTGATTTGGAAGTTTCCACCACCAGGCATATACTTGACCCACATAAAGACTTTTGTGGCTCTAAAGAAAATGAAATCTTTTCAGGCTAATGATTTTGTTTCCTCATTGTTTTCTCAAGTCAATATCTCATTCCTAATCTAATACTAGGAGGAGGTGCTTAAGTCACTATATTTCAAATATTACAACTGTGTAACAATATTAAAATCTATGTACCCTCTTCATCTCTGTTATGTTTTAGCCATGAACACAAACATATCTGGTGTATTATGAATAGTTTAATCCTGGGGAGAAAGAAAGGGAGATTGGCATCAACACGATAATAACGTGCGGACGTCCAGATGAGAGAATAACTGTACATATATATACGCAGACAATGTCTGCAACGGTAGTGAGTAGTGAATCATATGTCATTTCAAGGACCTACTCTGAAATCACCAAAATTATGATTGGGCCAACCAATGGAACAAATTTATCAGGATTCAAACCATTAAAGCCCCATGTTGGGATTATAAACATCTGGACTACATATACAGTCAAGAAACTGTTGGCTTGCATCTGACCCACCTGGTAATTGTAGGATCTGAGGACAAAGTGAGTACTGTTTTGAGTAAATTATTGTCATGCACACAACCCAGCATACAGCTAAAATTCTAATCTTTCATAGGCTCCCCTCATGTCCTAAGAAAAGAAAAGTCTTTTTTTTTTTTCTTTTAAAAGGGTAGAGTCAAAACTCGATTAACAATAACATACAGGTAATTTACACACAAAACACCATACAAAATTGATGGCTTTGTAACTTTTTTTTTCTTTCTTTTTTTGGTAAAATGAGAAGTTATTTATTTATTTATTTATTGTAAATTATGAACTTGCTACGTTGGATACTTGCAGACTTGCAGAAGATACAGTTAGCTGTTTTAGAAGTTAGGCGCAGAAAAAGGGAATGCAAATTCCCTTCTGGTCTTGAAACATCCACGACTTCACATAGATTGGCTTTGGCTCTTTCAGGTAAAAGAGTAGGCCGTCATGCAAGCACATTGAGGACGCAATTGAATATTAGGAAGCAGTTGTTCGGTACGCAGATTGGAGAGGAAGTAAAAATGATAAAATAAATGCTAATCAGTATATTAGGACATATTGATCGGGATTTGCTAGATTTGGTTTTCTAGGTCTTCATGTTTAAGATAAAACAAAGTAGGTGTCTTATTGGGGGACAGACCGCCCTTGAAATGGGCAGGGGAAGAGGAGCAAAGAAAGGGTGGGGAGGGATATTATAGCAGAGGAGGAAGGAAGAGTGAGATCGCTCTCCACTTTCCCCATCATATATTTATCAATTGTTTGACCAACCTCCATTTATTCTAATGACCAAGTCAATGACAGCACAGTGAGCTATTTACCTATATCAATATCATGCACATTATATATGCAAAATTGAAGATGTTTCCAGCTCTCGATGCAGTGATACTTCTCTTTCTAATGTTAAAAGTGATCTGTAAAAGGTTTATTAAGTCAAATGCTTAAGAGCAATTTAGAATTTATAATTTATAATATAGTGATACTTCTCTTTCTAATCCTAAATTAATTACTCATACATCCGAGATCCTGTGTTCCAACTTCGAATCCCCACTCCAACCAAAGAATAAAGCCAACCCACATAATTAATTTCATGCAAACAAAATTTTGCATGAGCAAGAGCAACATTTTTCTTTTGTTGAATTTTGTTTGACATTACAACTAAGAGTACATCGATCTCTGATCACTTCATTTCAAAGCAAAGAGATTGTCAAATATGTATCATATCATTGCATGTGATTCCAAAAAGTAAACACAATTTCACCTTTTCCAAGTTCTTAATATAAACCAAGCTCTACCTTTTCCACCAGAGATATTTAATTGTATTGTTTTATTATAAGTTAATGAAGGAAGATTCGATTTGAGGCAGGCCATAATTGTATAAGTGTTGCTTAAGCACTAATAAAAACATGTTTGTCGGCTGTTTACTGTAGCAAATACGCGCCATTGACTCAAAAGCTTACCGAAAAACCTTATCGTTTAGCAAGTTGGGACTAAGTTAATGGGGCAGAACATGTAGCCTAATCCTTGTTTAACTTATAATCCTTGTTTAATCTTGATGTGGAATTACTACAAAAACCTTATCATATGCCTGAAGGCAAGAGGGCCGGCCTCAAGTCCTTCCTGCATCACAACATTATTTTTCAATCTTGCGTCAATGAGTGGTTTGACATAATTTTACTCGCAATATCTTAGGCGCGGGACATTGACGCAAAGCAGCAGATCCAAGACCACGCAGTAGGGCTCTCATTAAGCCATTATTAAAAACCTCCAAGTTGGAGATTACATCATATTAATAATTAATTAATATATGCATAATATATGTCAAAATAATTTATAATTTTTTTTGGGCCAGAACATGAGTAAGTTAAAAAAAAAAACCCATCCATGGAAATGGATCACATGAGATCAGGGCGGCCCATCCCATATATTAATGGGCGGGACGGTGATGGTCAATGCAGTCCTCTTTGACATTCAAACATTTTTGGGGGAATATGTCACACTTCCATTAATGAAAATAAAATTCAATATTTTTTGCGCATCATAATTAAGAGATGGATTTATAATTAAAAGGTGATACAATCATGCATATATAGGGTCGTAGGGTTGCATAATTTTGTACATAATGTCACACGCACATATGTTCAAAAGCCCACATGAGCTTCAATTTGGTTCGTTTGGATGAAGAAAAATAACTTGGAATTTAACTAAGAGTCAGGAATTTAAGAGGAGAAATTGACAATTCCCTTGTTTGGCAATACATAATTTATTAAATGACAAGCAAAAAAAATAGTGGAAATTGGGGCATCAAATTTTAGAGTTTAATTTCCACCTAAATAGACGTCATTTCACAATTTTCATAGTGTCATTTACAAAATTCGACGTAGATAAATCCAAACACTGAAATTTTCAATTGCCAAAAATCGAAATGATGGAAATATAAATTTCGTCATTTTAGAATTCTATATAATTTTCAATTCCTTTATTCAAACAAATGGTTAAATTCTCTTTTGTGAGTGCATATTTCTTTATACTTGAGTTCAATCCCTCTTCTCATACATTAAAGTAGTTTATTATCACTTGTCAAATAACAAAAGGTCTTTTTTTGTAAGAGTGGAAGTGGCGCATTGGCCATGGGACTGGAAGCCCTTTCATTGGGATGAAAGGGTGACCAATAAAGCTAAAGTATTAGTTGATTGGCTTTCTACTTGCATGGCCATGGGATTGAAATATAAAATATTTGCTTTGAGATTGGCCGTGGGATTTCCTTTATGCTAAAATATTAAAAATAACGTTGGATTGATTCTTTTTTTTTATTAAGAAAGGGGGCAAAGCTCCAAAGAACAGACTACACAACCTGGTCTAAACAGACCAATATAGAATGAACAATTCCAAGCAGATCATCAACAAGATAATCACTTAACCAACTAGGAGCCTGCTCAAACTTGGATTGATTCTTTAAAGCCCCTTTTTCGCCACCATATTTGCATTCTATGGGAAAAGATATAGCAAGTTTTTCTCATTATGTTTTCAGAAAAACAAAAAAAATAAAAACAAAAAGGATTAGGAAAAATCTCAATTGGGTTCCTTTTTTGGGGTCAAACAATTGGTTTTGGTTGACTCGTATGGATGTGCTTCATGGGTCCAAACCTTTATTCTAATGTAGCCCACAATTGGTTTCAAACAGGAAGCCAACTCTGGTAGCCCACCAGCACACAAACCCTACACAACAACACTCACGACCCAAATCCAAAACAATACATGTAAGACTCACAGTTCACAAGGCGTTTTGAACTTCCACATAAATCTAAAAATCCTTAATCAAACAATGTGATCCGTGACATATGTTAATAATTGAAAAATATAAATATCACCATATCAAGAGCTAGATAGTTGATAGTTTTATTTGACCATACTTTGATGAAAGCTTGGGACATGCAACCTTCGTTTTATTTGATGTGTGACATAATTTAGAGTAATAATGCGACACAATCTTACGTCAATTCATTATCATGGATGTGGAGTAGAGGATAATGATCAGCCAGTACAATTGTCCATGCACCCGTTGTTATAATCGATGCATTCATTATAGCAATTTTCCTCCGCATCTGGTGCTTGGCTTTTGTCGGAACACCAATCCATGCATGAAGTCATTTCTTGGAAGCAA